TACCTCACTATGTGGGAAGATTTGCATAACGCCGCCCAAATGTTCACGCAAAGAAAGAAGGCGTAACTTTATTGTTACTGCCACCGTCATGTTGTAAAGACGCTGTGTTTCGTTGGAAGTTTGGCCTTCCAAAAGAGGGCACGACTAGAAATCAGTGATTAAGTTGTATTTACAACACTGTTCCAAAAATACCTGTACATATTGTTGTTCATATTGTTCTTCTTGCTTGTCCCTTCTGCAGAAGAGTGATACAGAGTCCCAGGCGAGCTCCGAGCCTCCTGCTCTGAAGAGAAGCACCAGCCAGGACTCAGAGGCCAGCACAGTGGTAGGGCACGGCCATTACAGAGACACTGCCATCCTTTCCCTAAAATACCATCCAGATCATATGTAGTAAATTAAATTAATACTTTTATTCAAAAAGGATGCATTTAATTGGTCTAAAATTAAAGTAAGTACATGTATAAGTTACTTAAGATTTCAGTTTCAAATATGTGATGTTCTTTTGAACTTTACTTTCATCAAAGAATAATAATAGAAAATGTTTCTTAAGCACTGTCAACATATTAGAATGATTTCTGAAGGATGAGGTGACACTGAAGACTGGAGTAATGGCTGCTGAAAATTCAGCTTTCCCTTCACAGCAATAAATTACATTTTAAAATATATTAAATTACGGATATTTTAAATTGTAATAATATTTCACAGTATTGCTGTTATGATTATATTTTGATCAAATAATTGCAGCTTTGAGTAGCAGTCATTTCTCAAGAACATTAAGATATCTTAACAATTCCAAACTTTTAAACATTAGTATAAAAAAATCAGCTTATTGTCATATTGCAGAAAAATCTAAAATCATGCAGATTTTAAACAACTTTTTGATTTTTCATTTTATAATGAACTATCCCATTAAGTAGCTGCATAATCCCTCTTGTTTGTTGTGCTGTTGCTGATCTCTGACCTTGGATCTGTAGGTGAGTAACAGCTCAGGTGAGACGCTGGGTGCGGACAGTGACCTGAGCAGCACTGCTGGAGACGGCCTGACAGGAAGACATGCTCAACATCTCAACCTGTCCCGTGGCACACTGTCTGACAGTGAAATTGAGACCAACCCTGCGACCAGCTCTGTGTTTGTGAGTAGTTCTCTTTGTTTTAGTCATCCTCTTCACCGCATCCAATCAAATGAAAGATAATAAAATAATGAATATGGACAATTGTCAATGTCACACATATAGGGCAAGACTCATAAGCTGAAGCCAGGAGTGAAGGAACCTCTTGGTGTTAATAAGGGAGCACCAGCTCCGCCCCTCGAGGATATTAGCATGAGGATCTATCTGTGTGAGGGGCTGCTGGGTAAGAGTTGATCCTCTTCCTTAATCCATTCAACATTCCTTTACCTCCATTCATTTTGTTTCCTTTCTTCTTCTCTTCTTTCATGTCCGTTCTCACTGCTTTAGTAATCAACTTATTTTTTAATGTCTGTGTTCATTAAAATGATGAGGTATTTCCAAAAGTTGTCTTTGTTGGTTTTCCATAACCTCAGCGTTTTCAAGTTGTAATAACATGTCTGCTGCTCAGAACAACGATTGCAACAGTTTGTTCTGTAAACTCTGCTTATATTCTGATCATTAGAGCTTTGTAAAGTGTTCTGTTAATTTGCTGTTTTTTTGTTTAGCTCCAAATATGTCCTCATATTAACCAGCGTGTGATGAATTTTTAGCTTGCATATCTCTGACAGCACACGGCTTTGCTTCTAACACTAACACTTTCTATGCCTTTTGCTCTGCGGCCACCTCCTTTTCCCTCTCTCTCCTTTTTCTTTTTCTCCTTCTGTTTAATGCTACGAAGGGCGAGATAAAAGCTCAGTTTGGGACCAACTGGAGGATGCTGCCATGGAAACCTTTTCTCTGAGTATGGCTGAACTCTGCCTTTGACCTTTGGGATGTGTGTATTTTGGGATTGTGAAGTTGTAGTATTAGACACTACATGCCTTGCCTCACATCCATACTATGACTGTGTTTAAGTCTTGTATGGAGCATGTAGGGTGTTTTTTTTTTATTTGTGTCTTTTCTAAGAAATTAAATACATTTGAATGTATTGCTGTGTGCATGGTACTGTTTGCATGAAGAGAGAGTTAAAATACACAAGCCAGACAGATCAGATAAGACAACTTTATTTTGTAATTGAATGTGTTTGTGTGAAATCGAGGGGTAATAAAAGCTGCTTGAGAGAATGGGAATGCTGAAACAATAAGCAGATGTATGGAGGCGTGTGTTATCTCTGTGTTAAAATTAATTTCATAAGGTTTGATAGCAAGCTCTATTTTTTACTGCATGCTGCGCAGTTATTGTATGGAGGATGTTTTATTTTAATACTCATTTATTCTAGTTTTTATGACTATGTCTTGAACATCTTACATTTACAATAAACAGTGTTTTATGCTGGCATGTTGAGTTGAAATACTGTTTTACTCAAGTTAAGAGTGAAAATGTGCGTGTATGTGTAGGTAAGGAGCGTTCTACTCTGTGGGATCAGATGCAGTTCTGGGAGGATGCCTACCTGGATGCCGTTATGTTGGAAAGGGAAGGAATGGGGATGGATCAGGGACCACAAGAAATGATTGACAGGTTAGTATGTTCTTTATTAAGTGCCTACATTAGTGTTCACACCGAATCGAAAGCAACACAGAATGAAATGGAAAAACATCCGCATAACTAGTCCAGTATGAATCTCTTTCATTCATAATCCTCTGTTTTCAAAAGTTTACATACTTTACTGATAGCAGAATGCATATTGGTTGTTCACATGCTTTTATACAAATTATACCCATCTGACCGTGCTGAAATGCTTTCACATGTTCTGCTCCGGGAGAATGACAACATATTGGAATGGTTTAAGCTAGAAGCTATTTAGTCATGCTAGGATTCAGATGTAAACTGTGCTGTTGTGTTTGTATTATGTTGTCCAAATACGACTGTGCTGTGGTCTCTCAGGTATCTGTCTCTGGGAGAGCATGACCGCAAGAGACTGGAGGACGATGAGGACAGACTACTGGCCACTCTCCTGCATAACATGATCGCCTACATGCTTATGATAAAGGTATACACGTATATATTTAAGTGAATATGGAGATTTTTAAAGTGAACGGTTCAGTTGTGACATATATTCATTTACATTTATATACAGTACAGTGTATATATACAGGCACTAGCATTCAACAGTTTGGGGTCAGTAATTCATTTTTCTGTAAGAAATCAATGCTTTTATTTGGCAAGGATGCATTAATTTGATCAAAAGTGACAGTAAAGACATTTATAATGTTACAAAAGATTTATGGTTCAAATAACTTAAGTTCTTTTGAACTTTCTGTTCATTAAAGACTACTGGGAAAAAAGCATTATGGCTTCCACAAAAATATTAACTAACATTAATATTAACTCTTACTGTTCTCTAGGTCAATAAAAACGACATCAGGAAGAAGGTACGGCGTCTTATGGGGAAATCTCACATTGGCCTCTCACACAGTCAAGAGATCAATGAAGTCCTGGACCGCCTCGCACATTTGGTTAGAGACGGTTAAATGAAGAGTTACAGCTATTGCATGGAAACCAGTAGCCAAACTTATCAGAATCAGGTTATGAGTGATTGACAGATCGTTTGTTTTGTTGCAGAGTGGCCGGGAGCTTCCCATCAGGCCAAGTGGCAGCCGGCACATTAAGAAGCAGACATTTGTCGTGCATGCTGGGACTGATACAACTGGTGATATCTTTTTCATGGAGGTATGAGTTTTGTGTGGCCGTGTGCCTCATTTAACAAGTCTGCATGAAAACGTATTGTAAATGAGCATTCAGTCCTTCTTTCCTCATCCTCGTGTGTGGTTAGGTGTGTGACGACTGCATCGTCTTGCGCAGTAACATCGGCACGGTCTATGAGCGCTGGTGGTATGAGAAGCTCATAAATATGACCTACTGTCCCAAGACCAAAGTGTTGTGTCTGTGGAGGAGGAACGGTCAAGAAACACAGCTTAACAAGTTCTACACCAAGAAGGTAGGACACACATCAATGTAAAGGCATACTGTAGTACACACACACCACATACTTCAAAATGTGACGGTCTCATTCTCAATTCACAGATTTTATATTGTTTCAGTATAGTCAGTGGAAATTGGAATCAGTCACTGTACTTCTCTTTCTCTGTTCCTGTGTTTTTGTGTGTTAAGTGTCGGGAACTGTACTACTGTGTTAAAGACAGCATGGAGCGTGCTGCCGCACGACAACAAAGCATCAAACCAGGTACATTGTGCATCTTTGTACACAACCATTCAAGAGTTTTGGGTCTGTATGTTTTTTTTTGTTTTGTTTTTTTTTTATAATTTTGAAAGGCTCGTTAGGCTCGTTTATTTGATAAAAAATGACAGTAAACTGTTAAATCCATTTTAAAATTTAATTTATTCCTTGTTGGCTAAGCTGAATTTTCAGCAGCCATTACTCCAGTCTTCAGTGTCACATGATCCTTCAGAAATCATTCTAATATGCTGATTTGGTACTCAAGAAATATTTATTATTATTATTATTATCACTGCTAAAACAGTTGTGCTGCTTAATATTTTTGTGGAAACCAAGAGACTTTTTTTTAGGATTTTTCAAGATGCTGTTCAAAATAGAAATCTTTACGATTGCTTGTAAACAATTTATTGTGTCCTTTCTGAATAAAAAGTATCAATTCTTACTGACCCCAAACTGTTGAACTGTAGTGCATGGGTTTGTAGGGTAAATTAAGTTCAAATGGACTGCTTTTGGCAGTCATCTCAATGAAAGTGGCCCAATTTACTCCTTGTATTATTGGATATATAATATCCCGCTTCTTGTTGCTGGAATAAACAAAGTATTTTTTTTATTTCTCACTGCTATTTGCTTTTTTTCCATGTGTGTAGGTCCAGAGCTGGGAGGCGAGTTTCCAGTACAGGACATGAAAACAGGGGAGGGTGGTCTCCTTCAGGTCACGCTGGAAGGCATCAACCTCAAATTTATGCATAGCCAGGTAGGAGGTATTGCCTTTATCATAACCATGACGAAGTGCTTGCCAGATTCAACACCACCCTTCCTCTCATTCTCATTCTCATTCCATCCAATCCTGTTTCTCTTTTCTGACACTTCTCGTCTGTATTCATCTCATCATCTCTTTTCCTTCCTCTCACTCTTTCTTTCTATTCGTGCCTGTCTTCCTTTGAGATTTTTTTTGGAACAACTGACAAAGTAATAAGAAAATGCGCTAAAAAGTTAAATAATCAAAGTATGAAGCATTTGTTTTGATATTAGACTCTAAAAGAAATTAAAACATGGAAAAGGTCTGTAAGTGTTGTTCCTGAAGAATCTCTTAGAGGAATAGCTGTTTTCTTTTTTTCGTTGTTGTCATTGTTGTTTGGCTATATTTGCTGGCTGTTTGTTTTTGGGTTGCATAATCACAAGCAGAGATTTACTTTTTCAAATGTCAGAACATTCCACCCGCTGTGTGTGTTAGTATGACGTGTTATTGGTCACGGCGCCCAGCTCTGGTCCTTACGGTTTGTGAGTGTGTTGGTGTGATGTCGGTTTGTTGTGGTGTGCCAGAGGTAAGATGTAGAACCTTGTGCAAAACGTATTCAAAATGTACAAAATACATTGTTGGGGAGATTGAAATAATACATTTTCTATTTAAAACCCACTTTAAAACCACTTTAGTGAGTTTTAATTCTAATAAATTGAATTAACCAACTATATAAACATATGCTTTAAACTGTCTCTAATGGGAGACAATCAGGTAATAGTTTTTAATTATACATATTTGATATATTCTACTTGAAGTGATTAAGACCATATGTCCGCGTTCTGCTGCACCTAATATTGCTGTTCTGGGATTATTTAACCTGGTTATTTGTCTCTTGTTACTTTGCTGTTCATAAAGCTCTAATGTGAACTGAACTTATGTATAGAAAACAAAATCCTGGTTTCTGTTTGATTTGAATAAACTCATATCCCATTGAACTCCCTCAAGGAGGAGAAGCAGTAGTTACGGAACACTGAAACTCTGGAAAAGACTGGACCAATTAGGAAACAATGCAAACCTTAAATAAGCGATTTATTTTTTATTTGTTTCCAACATACGTCTTTTGCCTGGGTTATCTTAGGTTATAGTCTTCCACTGCTGTAAGACCTTAAAGGGATAGTTCACCCGTTTACTCACCCTCATGTCGTTCCAGTCCTGTGGGACTTGCTTTCTTCTGTGGAATGTAAAAGAAGATATTTTGAGAAATGTCTGTTTTTTGTCCCAAAAAATGTGAGTCAAATGGTCACCGAAACTGTTCCGTAGAAGAAGGAGCTGGAATGACAGGCTTGGAACTAGATGAGCTTGACTAAATAATAACAAAATATCGCTATAATATGAGGACTTGGGTGCCTCGCTGTGGTTACTAGTCAGTTACTTGAGCTTTTAAAGAGTGCTAAGATGTAAAATGTCAGCAGAGTTAAGCGCTATTGAAATTGTAAAACTTTGAATTTAAAAATCGTTTATGTAGTGTAGTTGTGTGTGTTGTAATGGTTTTGGCACTGTTCTGTTTTGGCTGTAGGCATGTGTGAGGGAGCTGGTCCTCATTGCTGGTGGAGGAGGCATGGAGGGTAATGGGGTGGGAACACATCAGGGATTCAAAACTAACGTAAACATAATGTAAGATATTAACAGCTAATGTACAAAGACTTTGTTCCTTCTGGATGAAATCAGCGGTTGTAGTTTAATACCGTAAGGGTGGGCTCGTAGCACCAGAGGGTGTTTTGTGCTCTTTTTGTCCAATAATAATCCAAACCGTTTCTCTCCCATGCTCTCTCCCACTGCAAGGAGCGGAAGGTACACAACCTCTGCAGTCTTTGCTTTTTAGTGTACCATTTTCATTTACTTTTTCTTTCTTTTCCTTGTACTGTAGCTTTTCTGGCAGACGCCACTTTTTATGTGCTTATTTTTTGATGTCTTTTGTATTATTTTCGCTCTCTTTTTTTTTGGTTTCTTTTTGGTCTGTGTGTCTCTTTTTTTTCTGATGATGGAATTTTCCGTGGATGTCTTTGCATGGGCCTTTTCAGCACGTAGGGGGATCAGTGCCATGATTTCATTCCCACTTTTGGTGCAAATGGTCACAGCTGCAGGGTTTATATTAGCTCTTTAGTCTTAAGTGCTTCAAAAATACATCTGTTATACAAGTCTCCAAGTGCCTCAAGAACACGTCATAAATGAATAGTGTAGAACGAAGGCAGTTCTCCTCTTGGCTGGACAAGTATTGTAAATACACAGTGCATCTTTTGAAAGCGAGACTCTCCTAAGAGCTATGGTGTTGACTTGTTGATTAATTTAATACAATTTAAAAATGACAAAAAATATAGATCTGGGGTTATTTTTACTCTCAAGAATATGAAGACTGCTCAGGTGTTGAAAGTTTCACGGCTCTCCATTTGCGTCACTGGCCCATGTAGTCCTGTCAACATGGAAACTTCTCTTTCTGTGCAGTCATATTTGAGTTCTGATAGCTTCTCAACAGCTTGCTTATCATGTTCTTTCTTCGTTTCTCCCTAGTTTACAGTTACTGTCCAGATTGTCATCTCTTCAGAAAATACTTTTTTTGTTTTCCCACAAGTGTGTGATTGAGTTGGTAACAGTGTGTCCTGTTGTTTTTTTGTTTGTTTTTGTTTGTTTTTAGGTTTTCATAGAGCTGAGTCACATTAAAAAGTGCAATACAGTGAAAGGAGTCTTTGTCCTGGAGGAGTTTGGTAATTACCCCCATTTTGATTCTAGGCCTGTACACAGCAGTAACCCAGTCACATGCAGAGCAGAGAAGTTATCATGTTCAGTACTGTTAGATGTGGCGATCTGAACGACTGTATGAGCTTTAGGAGCAAAGGTTATATATAAGACAGTAGGACCATTGTTTTTAGCTGTTGCTCCTGTAATGCAGTCTGTGAATGACGTTACATGAAACGTAACGCCCAAAATGAACCAGATCCTATCTGCTTGTAGAATCCTGTTCCCCTTGGACCCAAAGCCATTCCATTGGCTGAGACAGTGGTGTATTTATTAATAATATTATATTAATGTTCGAGTTAGAGTATTAACACCAGGGATTGTATATTTAAGAATGTATGCTCATTTCCTCTACTTGTACTTTGCCATCTAGAAATGCTCGCTTAACATTCATCTGTAAAAACACAAATAATGTCATGTAAATTTAATAAAATGTGATCTTTAAACAAATTATGCATTTTTCATACTCTACATGATAATTTTGTGATCCATTCACTATCAATTGAAACAATTGATTTGATTTTTTAGCTCTAAATTCTAGTTATATTTAGTCAAATACTACATAATTTTAATGTCATCTATTTATCGGGTATAACATGAACATACTTATCACAATCTGTTAAAATATTGTTTTTATTATTCACATATCACACTGTATTATAGAAAACATTTAAATCAAACTTTTCCCTCTTTGTGTTTTCAATGCATCTTCAGTTAGCAAGCTAACAGCTTTATGTAGTGTTAACTGGTTAAGAAATGCTCTGTTTATTAGCTAAAACAAGATATCATGATACCTCTGGCATGGAGGAAAAGGATTCTTCCGGTGGATAAGGTCTTGCACGCCATCAGCAGCTTTGAGGAAATGATGCACAGTTCAAGTTCTTTTGTGACGAATGAACCGATCAGCTCCATTTTAGATTGCAGTTGTTTCCTTTGATACATCTTTTGGAGGAGGAGTCATAGGTTTTCATCAAGAATACTGCTTTAAGTGATACTTCAGCCAAAATTGTCAGTCTCCAGAATAGAAGTCTTTATAGAGTTAGATAATAACTAAACCATGTAGAGATTTTAGAGACCGGTGCTTTTGGAGATATGTACAATGAAGGGAGGTGCAGTGTATGAAGTCTCTTCTGTAGTCATAGAGTCGCTCTAGACTGGGTTAGTGCTGTGTCTTTGTGCTTCCTTTTTGTAATCCGCCCCTCATCTTTGCTGCTATGAAAACCTTCATTCTCCAGCAGGTAAAGTGCTGTCACCTTTATCTTTTCTTCTCTTTCTTAACCTGTCCTCCTCATTTAACTCTACATCTGTCATCATCTCGCATACATCCTTTTTCACCACTAATGGCTGTCGACTGCTCATCTGCACTGCACTGCCTTGATGTCAGATGTCGCTTCTCCTACACTCGAGTTCATACACTCATGCCTGTAGTAAAAGTCATTCCACAAGTGATGGAAAACCCCAGCAGACCCCAGATTTCCTTCCAACTTTAACTTTTAATGATATTGCTTTCTTTCTTGCTTTCTCTCTCTCTCTCTCTCTCTCTCTCTCTCTCTCTCTCTCGCTCTCTGATTTCTCCATCTATCCCCCATCTTTTTTCCTCTGGCTTTCTTTCTGCTCCTTGAGCCTGCCTTGATTCAGTTCCCCATTGCATAAGAGTTTCTCAGTCTTGTGGGAAACGTCTACTGATGATAAATCCTGTTCAGTCATATGATCTTTATGAGTGCTGCTCTTCTGCTGCAAGATTCAGTGCTCTGTAGCTCTGTCTGAAATGTGCAGGGGTCAGATATAGATTATTAATATTCATTTGTCATGGGCCTTATGTATGCCTCCCCTTCTCTCTCTCTCTCTCTCTCTCTCTCTCTCTCTCTCTCTCTCTATCTCTGTCTCGATCACTCTTTCTTTCTCTCTGTGTCTGCCCCCTGGCCTTGAATATTTTATATTTGTTATTCCACTGCTGTTGAACTTTTTATTTTGTGTCTTGCACTGGGATTTGCAGTTCCTGAAACTAAAGAAGTGGTGATCCATAAGTACAAGACTCCTATGGTAAGATTTCAGTATTCATAAAGTACTACACAGTAGAGCTGGGTATCAATACAGATTTCCAGATTCAATTAACATGCTCTTAACTTGTTGCAGCATCTGATTTCAATGTTTTTTTTTATATTCCAATAGTAAATATTTTTAAATATCATTAGTCATTTTTCCTGAGTAAGACTACACTTAACAGCTTGAGTCGCATCTTGCAGCATTGACACTGTTATTGAACAGAACTGAATCAATACTGAACTGATTCAAGCTGAATAACATTCAACTTTGTTCCCTTTTGAGGAATTGCTTGTAGCTGAATTGAATTTATGATCTTCATTTGTTTATCTGAACTGAACAAATGCTGAACTGACTCGATCTAAATAATTACACAATTGTCTTTTAAAGCTGCTTTACAGCAGAATCTGAATTGTTGCCATAGTTGAGTTTGCATCATTGATTTTCCTGTTTATCACTATAAAGTTGCTTTGATTCAATATATTGTATAAAGAATATACATATATAACTGTTAACTGTTCTGTCTTGGACAGGCACACCAGATCTGTTACTCGGTGCTCTGCCTCTTCTCCTACATGGCGGCGGTCAAGGGGAAAGAGTCAGAGGGCAAGCCCAAGATGCTGTCCCCTCGTCCACTACCGAGCTAGCACACTTCTCTCCTATGTTTACTTCAACTCCTGAGCTCCCTGCAATACTACTCCTGTTCAATACAAGCTGACACTCCTGCCAAGCTCCTTTTAAAGACCTCTGCTCCTGTACTGATTCAAATGTAGATGCATTCACATATTCTACACTTTCATCCTAAAATAAACAACCTGTTCATATAATGTATCTGATATAATATTCCAGTCTTTGGACACTAAAATGCTGGCATTTCATTCTCATAATATGGACCAACCAGAAGAAGAACAGACTTTGACTACTATTGGTTGACGTCCTCACATTTGTACACTTTTATTTATTTCAATAAGAGGCATTTGGTTGCATGCAGGTCCCATGCGCCGCTCTTGCGAGTTGGCACTAGCATGCAGACATCAGGCAAACGTCTTTCCCCTCTTCAGCCCCCTCTGATATCAGTCAACAGGCTGTGTATTTAATATTTATGTGCTAAGTTGTACTGTAAATTCCAGTCTGTTCTGTCTTTGGTGGGTGAAATGTTCAAGTCTTTGCAATCTAGCGCTGCCACGTATGAGGGGTTTGCCTTAACCGTCCACGACGGAGCAGCTGTCCCATTCGTAAATGTTCCATTCGCCCTCCTCCACCTGCTGTAAGTGGTCTAAGGTCTGTGTATCTCTTTAGCTCAAAAGGCTCAAACTACTGTACTAGTTCTGCTGTAAAGTTCCCTGTCTGTGAACTGCTGTTAAATTTGCATGTCACTTGGGGAAAAAAAATTGATATTTAAAAAAGGAATCTACATCTCTGAAGCAATGCTGAAAAAGCAACTAAAATGTTTAGGAAATACTGTAGTTTGTTTTCTAGATGTGCAATACTATCACTAGTGGGTACCAAGAACAAGTCCAGTCATGTCCTCAGAGTTCATCCACTGTGTGTTCATAATGAGGAGACCAGAGAGCAGATCAGGCATCATGTTTTCTGTTCATTTGTTGTCATTATTTTGACACAGCGATGAAAAAAGGCATTATTAATCTATACTGTTAAATTTGCATGTCACTTGAAAAAAAAAAAAAAAAGAATATTTAAAAAAGGAATCTGTACATCTCTGAAGCAATGCTGAAAAAGCAACTAAAATGTTTAGGAAATACTGTAGTTTGTTTTCTAGATGTGCAATACTATCACTAGTGGGTACCAAGAACAAGTCCAGTCATGTCCTCAGAGTTCATCCACTGTGTGTTCATAATGAGGAGACCAGAGAGCAGATCAGGCATCATGTTTTCTGTTCATTTGTTGTCATTATTTTGACACAGCGATGAAAAAAGGCATTATTAATCTATAAGACAGCTGCACTTGGAGATTGTTTAAATAGTGATGGAAAAGTCTCGTGTCCAAAATGTCCTGTTTGAAGTGTCCTCTTCCTGTTTGTGTGTGTGTCTGTGGAATTGTGTGTGTTTGTGTTAGAAACACAGATGGCAAGAGATTGTGTCTGTTCATAGAGGTGCAGATTTTCTCGTTTCATCTCTTTTTGACTACTAGATTTGGCAGTACAGCTGTCACATTTACATATTTTAATGTTCTTTTATGTTTTGCTCACATTTTTAATAATTTAAATGTATGAAGTGTTGTTTTGCATCTCCATTAAATTGAGTTATTGTATGCAGACTGTAAATGGACTTGAGCCCACTCAGTATTGGTTTAGAGATGTAAATAGCACAAAACTGATTTCCCAGAGTCCAAGTCTCCCAAAACGGATGTTTTGAGTTGGACAGTGGATCAGGTCTGTTGTTTGAAAGTGTGAGAGAGATACAGTTGCACATTATTTGGGCTTTCATTTTAGCCTATTGTTTAGAACAAGAGGGAAAGGAAAAAAATGGAGACATGGATGTAAATATTTCAGCATTTAAAAATATTTATAGAACCTGTACAGCTTTGGCAATATGGAAATAAAAGATGTCCAACCCGATTTTGTGACTGTGCATATTGTTACTGCATGAATTACAATTATTATTCAGCTGTCACAGAATACATTTTTTATTTATTAAGGGATTTGCCTCTTAGAATTTTTTTCTGACCATATAAAAACTAAGTTTATTGTGCTTTTAAAAAGCCACTTGTCAAATACTTTAAATGGATAACTAACTATAAAATCATCAAATAGAAATGTAACATTGTCATAACACAATAATCACCACTATAAATTTTGTTTTTATATATATATATATATATATATATATTACTATATTAGCAGCATATTCAAAAACTGTCCCAGCAGATGTATAACCACAGCCTGTGAGTTTTTGAGTACATGCATGAATGAAAAAGAAATGTGACATCTCTGTATATTATAAATGTATTTTACTGGCATTTTGGAAAAAAAGAATCTCTGTCAGTGTCCTCCTAAATCATTGAAACACTTCAACTCCAGCATATTTTTTTTTTTATAAACATTGCATTGTTACACAGAGGCCCATCCAAAAAAGCCTACTGGAGGTGCTCAAAATCCTGAGCTTTTTAAATATCGACATTGTATTTACAAAAAATTAGGCTATAGCAGGTTTGCAACTAATTTACTAATTAGAGCATTAGCCACATAAGCTATATTTGCACTGTTGCTGCATTAGTACAAATTGGCCAGTTTTTCTTTCTTTAAAATTTTCATATTTGAGGCCTTTTCAAGTATCAAAGAACTTAAGGTCTACTGGTCTACAATCAGTATACAAGTACTGATGAAATACCCAATCTCACTTTGATTTTGAGACACTTTGTTTTGGACATCAGCTTATAACAGATTTTGTACCACAAAAACATTTTTCTCTTTAAGAGTCAATGTCTCATTATTGTCCAAACCACTATTTACAATACAAGCAAATATAAACTGTATGGTTCATTAGAGAATAAAAGGGGAAACTACCAACTACCATTAATCATGATTGGTCTTACAAGAATGTTTGTGTGGAGGAGAGGGAAAAGTACTGACCGTTAAAACAATAATCCCTGTAAGAAACACAGGTTGGCTAAAAACGTTTAGTTCTGTTGACACCATATGTGAAATACATAAAAGCTAAAAGTTAAATTATATACATCACAAACTAAATCTCAAACTGTGCCAGAGATGTCACTTTTGTTACAACATGGACTAACTGATGAAAACATTAGTGCTTTAGAATAAACCCATTGTATTCGTTCAAACTAGAACCATATTTTGGGCAGTTGTCCATACATATGCTAAATATTTAGTTTTAAACAAAATTTCACCATCACTTGTGATCGTCATTAGCATATGAAGACTAAAACCAAATTACCTCTGGCAAACTGACCCTTTTACCAAAGAACAAGTAATACGTCAAGACAAAGAAAATGACTGCACTTTCTAAGAGCTGAAGACTCCAAGAGCCCTTCAGAAAAAAAAAAGCAATTATAGTATTATATTAACAAATATCCACTTGCCAAAACTTAAATGCCCAACAGAAAATATCCCTAGGCCCTGAAGCTTTCTACAGTGAAGATATGTTTTTAAAGTTATCACGAAGCAACGCTAGCTTAAATCCAGAGTACGGATTAGACATCAACTTTGCTTCCTATCATAACTGTACTGTGGAGGATGAAGAGAAGTGTCTAGCTATCTCCACGGACAGCTTTCCGGAGGATCCTGAAACGGGACATGACCTCATCCCAGTCCAGATATGCTCCTTCAAGATGTCTTGAGTTCTGACCTCGTGACAGGTAGCTCTTTCGGCCATGCAACAGACGCCAGTTATCAAAAGTCACCAAGTCACCTGCTCAGAGATGAAATGAACAACCAGCATCAGTCCCATATTTATACATGCAATGTCATATTTGGTTTAGTAAGAAGGCTAGCAGCAAAGGGAAAGTTTGTGGGATTCAAAATACAGTACTTTAAATATGGGATAATTCTAGTGATCATTTTTGAAAACCCTGGCATTAGATTTCAAATAGAAAAGTTTCCAAAGCCTGAGCCTAATCCCAAATTCATAAGCCTAAAACCCTTCATCTTTGCCTATTATGCAATTATGACTGTCAACTATAGTACAAATGTGTGCTATAACAACCGTAATCTGATTAGGTAAAGAGGTGAACTGTGTGGCTGTTTCTGACCACACTGACCTGGTTCCATTCTGTACGTGAACACGTTTTCAGGCCTGCTGAGCAGCTCCACAAAGGCCTTTAGAGACGAGTAGAAGGGCTGAACCTGATGCACAGGCATATCCAGCACCGAGTCTCGTGTGGCGTTGTTATAGTTGATCCTCGTCACCCGACCCTCAGAGTCCACACTGCACATTACATACAAGCTTGTATTGAAAGTTACCAGGATTTATGAGAACTACTACAGTGTATTGCTGCTTTTTAGAATTGCATGGGAAAGAGCAACCACAGAACAATTTTCCCTGCTGAAAAAAAACAGGTAAAACCAGCCTAAACTGGTTGGCTGGTTTTAGCTGGTCAACCAGCCTGGTCATAACTGGTCAGCAGGCTGGTTTTAGAGGGGTCCTGGCCACTTCTTTAGCTGGTCAGGCTGGGAGACCAGCTGGAACAACCAGCTAAAACCAGCTTGACCAGCCAAGCCAGGCTGGGAGACCAGCTAAAACTGCTTCCAGCTTAAACCAGCTAAGACCAGTCAACCAGCTTAGGCTGGTTTTAGCTGTTTTTTTTTTTCAGAGTTGTGTTACACTGAAGGTGGGAAAAAAATTGATGACAAATTTATAACCTAATAAACGCATTCATTTGTAGAAATGTAGCTCTTATGAATCCCAGTTCTATAGCTGAACATGAGATGGTGCTGTTTTACATTATTTACGTATAGTCAGTGTTGATGACGATGAGATGTGACAAAGCTAATCCATTGCATTAGCTATGCGTGGTTATGTGAGTATGTATGCGTCTGCTGGAGCCACAGTCTGTCTTACTCTATAATGTGGTTTTTGGACTGCACGCTGAAGTCACAGTAGTCAGCACCGCTGTCTGTGAAATCCACCCTGAGCGAGGAGAGGATGTTAAACGCCTCAGGATCCTCCCTGCGGAGCTGCTCCGCCATGTGAAACCCATCAACCACTTCACTCTCTCCGCCCTGAGCAGCCTGACGGACACAATGCAGGAACTGCACCTACAACCAGAGGAATTACAACAGAAGTCTTCTCGTGAAATTAATTATTTATTCTATTATCTATTTAGGGTGTAATAATTTTAATTAGATTAATTAAAAAAAAAAACAATACAGGGAAGTCCCATCATGATCTAAAGAATGCATATACTCACCTTCATGAGTAACGCACCACAGTATGGTGTGTGTGTGTGTGTGTGTGTGAAGCTCTGCTTTGATTTATCCAGACATAAGGTCAGTGGCTCTCCTGGATAATCCAGCTATTGTTTGGTAAAGCCAGCTGAACAGATTCCAGACCCTCTGTAGGCACCCTGACGTGTGCTATAACAACCGTAATCTGATTAGGTAAAGAGGTGAACTGTGTGGCTGTTTCTGACCACACTGACCTGGTTCCATTCTGTACGTGAACACGTTTTCAGGCCTGCTGAGCAGCTCCACAAAGGCCTTTAGAGACGAGTAGAAGGGCTGAACCTGATGCACAGGCATATCCAGCACCGAGTCTCGTGTGGCGTTGTTATAGTTGATCCTCGTCACCCGACCCTCAGAGTCCACACTGCACATTACATACAAGCTTGTATTGAAAGTTACCAGGATTTATGAGAACTACTACAGTGTATTGCTGCTTTTTAGAATTGCATGGGAAAGAGCAACCACAGAACAATTTTCCCTGCTGAAAAAAAACAGGTAAAACCAGCCTAAACTGGTTGGCTGGTTTTAGCTGGTCAACCAGCCTGGTCATAACTGGTCAGCAGGCTGGTTTTAGAGGGGTCCTGGCCACTTCTTTAGCTGGTCAGGCTGGGAGACAAGCTGGAACAACCAGCTAAAACCAGCTTGACCAGCCAAGCCAGGCTGGGAGACCAGCTAAAACTGCTTCCAGCTTAAACCAGCTAAGACCAGTCAACCAGCTTAGGCTGGTTTTAGCTGTTTTTTTTTTTCAGAGTTGTGTTACACTGAAGGTGGGAAAAAAATTGATGACAAATTTATAACCTAATAAACGCATTCATTTGTAGAAATGTAGCTCTTATGAATCCCAGTTCTATAGCTGAACATGAGATGGTGCTGTTTTACATTATTTACGTATAGTCAGTGTTGATGACGATGAGATGTGACAAAGCTAATCCATTGCATTAGCTATGCGTGGTTATGTGAGTATGTATGCGTCTGCTGGAGCCACAGTCTGTCTTACTCTATAATGTGGTTTTTGGACTGCACGCTGAAGTCACAGTAGTCAGCACCGCTGTCTGTGAAATCCACCCTGAGCGAGGAGAGGATGTTAAACGCCTCAGGATCCTCCCTACGGAGCTGCTCCGCCATGTGAAACCCATCTACCACTTCACTCTCACCACCCTGATCAGCCTGACAGACACAATGCAGGAACTGCACCTACACACACACACACACACACACACACACACACACACACACACACACACACACACACACAACCTAATGTTCTTTTTAGCAACATCATATGACCCCTTAAAAAAAAACTTCTTTCCTCTGTGCCCACAAAAAAAGCAGGTTTGGTAGCACAAACCTAGACAAATTTTTGGTTTCTATAAAAAACTATTTTCTCCTGTTATCAAATTGAAAACAAAGGAAGTAAGAGTGTGAAAGAGGAGTATTTGTGGCTTTTCAAAAGGAAATGAGGCAGATTAGTGGTATCAATAAGACCATATTAGACACTAGAATCCTCCATGTCAGACACACCATGGCCTCCTCCTTCAGTCTGAAGATCCCTAGCCAGTGAAGTTTTGATTTGGCAGATGCAGTGCTTTTTGTTCCAGTCTGGGTCAGGTGAAGCTGCTTTTTGGCCAGTTTGAGCGAGCTCCTGGGGCTAGTGCGGTGTTAAATCATTCAGCCTGTCACTTAACAGGTGTCAGCTGAGAGGGAGTTCACATGCATGGATTTGTGATTACAGCCAGAAGCTCATGGTGTGTCTGTCTCTGTTCTGTCTCTTTTCTCCAGCTCCTCTATCTGTCTGTCCTAGGCTGTGGTTTCCATTCACTCATCCTTACTTATTAAAAATGTTCTCTACATGATCTTGTGAGAGCCTTTGGTGTTTGGCAAGAAAATAAATCAGAATCTCAATGGTTTTTGATTAATAAAATGGGCTCAGTAAGTCTAGAGCAATGGAACAAGTTTTAACTGAGTGTAAAGCAAAGCTCTTTCACATAATTTCCCATTCATTCAGATGCCGTCAGAGGCAGTTTTTTTTTTCTTTGAAAACAGAACATTGTTCTGATTGTTGGCCAACAGTTACAGCACGAAATGCTTTCATCAAAGGATGGCGTAGACCAACGACTCATGCTGTGACATCCATGATAATCATATTCAAACGGAACAGTCCTATGGTTCTGTGCTTGCATTACCAATTTTGCACACTACTTTACTCTCAAGTCAATAGCCAAGTTGCGTGTGGCAGAAACAGAAATATGACTTGAGGACTAGAGATAAAGGTAATAACAACCATTATTCTTCTCAGGGATGGGCAAAATAACTGAAATACCTGACAACATACCAATGCCAAGTATAATGGCAGGTTAAGGTCATTTGACTAATTTTAATCTTTCTTAAAATGCTGTCTAACAAGTTTTGGCGTTTGAGAAACTCGCTATATCAAAAGTGACAGTAAAGACAATATTAGAAAACATACTTAAAAAAAAAAACGATTACTGTTTTTGCTGTATTTCTGATTAAATAATGCAGCCGTGGTGAGCATAAGAGACTTTCAAAAACATTATCTAAAAATTCTTACTGACCCCAAACTAGCAAGACCAAAAAAAATCTCATGAAGAAAATGTGGTTATAAGATGCACCTGGTCCTTTAAAATGGCCTTGTTTTCGTTGGCTGTTGGAGAGAATGCCCAGACTTAACGAGACGGGTGGCCTGACTACTACACATCTACTACCATGTTTTCAACAGACATTGTGGGTTGAGGGACTTTTTATTTCCTTCAGTTATAAACCTGTCCAGATGTAATGCATTAGGGTGGAAGATCAGACCACATTACTCATTACACCATATTTCGTTTTCCATGAATGATGGGTTTGTGCCCTTTGCAGTAAGTTATTTGTCTTTCTTTGTAGATCTTGGAGTGAGAATGGCAATTCTGGCATAAATGGTAGTTTTGCACAATTTTTGGTGTAAACAGAGTCACAGATGTTCAAAATCAGTTTAACAATTTCTGAAATGGAAATCAGTTTGTAATTGAAGTTTGACCGGGTTTGAAATGTACATAATTATTTTTCTTATAGTTTCCAGTGACAGACTGAATATTTTTGCATATTTTGCAATACATAAATAGGCAGTCAGTTAAAGAATCATCTAGATACAACTTCTTGATCACTGGGTAAGTACTACTTACTAAGTAGTAATACTAGTTGTCAGTATGACTCCTATTACTCCACTGTTTCCAAGTCTGCAGTATTAAAATTACTGTATTTGCTACTTCTGTTTGTGTCTTTGTTCACTAAATGGTTAAATCATTATGATTATCTAAAAATAGGCATTTCATTGCTTTAATTAGAGTGCAGCCAAAGCTATAGTATAATTTCAACGCTGTCGAACCCGGCACTTAGTTCAGTCAGATTTAGTCAGTTTATTTTGTATTGCCTCTGTATTGTCTGTGTTTTTGGACCATGTGTGTCCTTAATAAGGTTTTGATGATGATGATGATGATGATGATGATGATATAGTCCATACCCATAAAAGGTGAGGCGTAGATAGCCAATCCTCTGACTCAGTCTGGCCACCTGGCCCTGCTCTGCTGGCGCCCCCCTCAGGTAGACAATGCCAATGCGTCTCAGAGCCTCTAGCCAGGCCAGGGCAGCCTTGTCATCGTGTAGAACTTCCTCAAAGTCAGCTGTAGGGATCTGCAGACTTGAATCCCAGTATTCACGCTCTGAAACACAGATACGCATATAAATACACATTACAATGCACAACACAAAACATTACAGAGAAATAACACAACTTAGTGTCTAGTGTCATGAAGTGTAAAGAAACAGAAACCTCATTTTCATAATTTTATATTTTTTATGATTTAATAAATTATTTGTTTTTTTTAGCAACTCACGAACCGCTTGAAGTTCCACCACAAAAAAACCTAGCTCGGGAAACTCTGCATTAGAAGGTCCAGTGTTAAAATAAAAAGCAAAGTCAACAGAGGCTCAAGTCTATATAATAACGTGCATGTCAGCATTACTCCAAAAGTAGCTAAAATCCTCTCCAAGCTAAACATGTTTCTCTCTCTATCTTTCCTATCTCTGTTACTCATTTTCTAAGCACCCTGATTTACAATGCAAATAAACACATGATAGAAACTTTGCACCTAAAACCATAAGTGTCTTAACATAATGAAGGATTGTGTGTGTGTGTGTGTGTGTGTGTGTGTGTGTGTGTGTATGTGTCAGGGTTAAGGCCAGAACACATTGGTCAGAACACTGTGTGAGGGCCTGCATGTTTGAAGCAGTACTGCTGGAAAACTGGTTCTTATGTCTACTTTAACAGACAGGGCCTCTAGAGAAATGTGCATGTGAGAGCAAGCGTTCTGCACTTATGTCTATAATTCACTGCTTGGACCTCTGTGCTGTAGACGTATTTTTCAGCCCCGCACCTCTTTCTCAGCTTTTCTCAATTTAGAAAACTGTTCCACTGGCGAATTTGTCACAGTTGAGAATCCAGAGACAAATATAGTTCAGGACCAGCAAGTGAAAGAAAAGAACTCCTGACCAATTATTTCCCGATTTAAGAAGTCATGTACACTACCATTCATTAGTCTGGGGTCAGAAAGAAAAAAAATTAAATGAATACTTTTATTCTGTGAGGATGTATTCATTTAATTAAAAGTGACAGTAACGACATTTATAATGCTATAAAAGTGTGATTAATTAATTAAAACTGTTATCCTGAAAAACACAAAAGCAAAACTGTTTTTAACATTAAGGCAATTAATTTGAGCTCCAAATCAGCAAATCAGATTTCTGAAGGATCATTTGACATTGAAGACTGGAGCAATTGCCATCACAGAAATAAATTACATTTTAAAATGTATTTATATTTAAACAGACGATAGTTATTTTAAATTACTGTATAATAATATTCCACAATAATACTGATTTGATCAAATAAATGCAGCCTTGGTGAGTATAAGAGACTTTGAAAAACATAAAGACAAAACAAAAACTGGAATGGTAGCATACCTGGCACAGATACTCCCTTCAAGATACTTTGTCATGACGATGAGCATGAATAAGCTTCTGATTTCTCAGATGTATATTATCTCAGAGGTATAGTCGCATCTCAACAGGATAAATAAAGTTTGTATATTCCAAACCTCGACTAGGTAGAAGCCACAATGCCAACTCGGCAAACTTTACTTGGAAGAGAAAGGAGTATCTATTTATTTAACCACAGCTGACACACATGCAGGATATCCATGGTGATGAGCACAAATATAAGAGCTGTCTCATTGTGGCTCGTAACAAACATCCTCATAAAAATACAAATAAAGTTAAAGCAGTGGGGGTAAATGGAGAGCTTGAAATTTGAACAGTGAAAAATGTGGGGATGTTTAAGAAACCTGTTAGAAAACAGTTATTGATGCATTTCTGTTTGGCATCACTAGTCACTGAAATGAAACATCTGAATGAAACATGGCCGTTTGTTTACTACTGAATGCATTTGCTGGACTCACCTAAAAATGCTGCTATTTCAGCTTCAGAAGCTGAAGGCCACACAGCAGACTACTAAAATGGTATTTTGTGATACCAACCATAGTTATAATAAAATGTGTAGTTTCAAGTTGACAAAATGCATTGAAAACAGATGTAACCCTGAGAGAGGAAACCATGTTGCTAAATTAGTCATGATATACACTGGCATGCAGTATGAATATGCAATCATATAAACGTGCAATCAAGTTAATGCAAACAAAACCAAAATTGACTGACACACAAGGCAGAGAAAACACCCACAATCTCACAGCAATTTTGAGGTTCTGGTATGAATTTGATCAAAAAAAGAGAACGAAAGCGAGTGAGCTGGGCACTGGGCCCAGGGTGAAGTGGTTCAGTCAGTCCAGGTCAGTAATGTTCAGCTCTTATAAACGTGTAATGTGTAATATTCTCGGTCTCACTGACATACTAGGGTTTCCTGGCAGTGCTAATGTTGACTTCAGAGCCAGAGATTAATATCATGCTATCATTCTGTCCAGCCGCGGCTTCTGAGACAGAAGCTCACAACCAGAGTACAAACCACTTACAGAGATCATTTCCAAATGGGATATGGAAAGTAGATTTATATGATTTGAGTAACTCAATTTGCATGTGCGCAGCATCCTATATTCAGTTCACGTCCCGTGCGCTTCTCAAGAAAATGAAGTAAGACACCTCTTTTGAGTCAAGCCATTAGTTTTCCATAAGCCATTTGGAAAAATAAGGTTTTAAAAGTACTCCTTCAACTGTTATTTAAGTAATCTTAGTCTTTGCCCTGTGCCAGTGTGGTCTTTTTCTGTGTGGGAAGGGTGAACTGTTTTTCATCTAATGCAGCAATGTGACTGTTTTGCTCTTTTTGAACTTAGACGGGAACAATGCGGTCTTGGTGCTCTGAAGGATCATGATGTCAGCTGAACCAGGACATGCTGTGACCGCAGTAAAGCACATTTGTGCCCTCTTGTAAATGAGACACTACAGCCACACTAGAAAAACTCCTTTAAGTGAATCGGTTCACTGGGTCATAAAAATCCTAGTGTGAGATATACTAGTGTGACCTAATTCAGCCTAATTGCCTGTTATCTCAAACTTCATGAAATATACTGTATATGCAACCCTGTTGAGCATAAGAGACAACAGTCATTACGATTTAAAATACAGTAACTGTCTGTTTTAATGTTACTGTATATTTTAAAATGCTTTTTATTCTTGTGGTTTAAAAAAAAGCTGAATTCAGCAGCCAGTGTCGCATGATCCTTTAGAAATCTCACATTTCTTATTATAATCAATGCTAAAACAGTTCTGCTGCTTTGTGGAAATTATGATCCATTTTCTTAGGATTCTTTGATGAATAGCAAGTTCAACAGAACAGCACTTATTAAAATAAAAATGTCCTCTAAGATTATAATTATCTTTACTTACTGTAATTTTTGATCAAGGATCAATGCATCCTTATCTTTTAAAAACTTTTAAATTGCAATACTTTTACAGAGCAATTTTGGACTCACCTCTAATACTACAAAAATAAGCCACTTACACTGCATTAATATAAACCTTGGAGTAAAAATGAATAGTTTAAAAACAAAAATGGACACAAAATGGTCCTCATTTGTAGAGAGATTGAGTAAGACCATGAAGGACACATCAGTTGTCTACAAATGGTGCTAACCTGTCAGGAAATGGCTAATGGTAGATTACTGCCCAAGACAGACGTATTATAGCAAGGTGAGAGCTTTACAGGCCTCTTTCAGGCAGTTTGAAGACAGTTTATATGGGAGGTCTTAAAACAAGGGACAGAACTTGTCATATTATGTGCCAGTTAAGGAGATTTGTTAAACACATGCAAGCCTTGTGTGTTTTACACCTCAGCTAGAAGCAGACACTTGTGATGTGTAGTCTACGCTTTAAACCGTGGAAATGTATTGGTTGTCTTTCACTGATTTAAGGGGCACAAGGGGATGCCTTTTGTGCCTTTAAACAAAACAACAGCATAATTTCCTGAACTTCAAAGAGAAAATCACAAAGTTAAAAACAATAGCAAGATGTTTAAAACTAAAGAACATTTATGGCTAACAAAATCTCTTACAAAGCCCCAGTGACGTGCATTAATTTTGAAAATTTAATCTTAAGATCTCGGGACACACAAATACGTGCAGGATGCTTGTTCTGGCAGACACATTGTTCAGTCTGCTCCAACCACAGCATCCCTCAAGAGTGGTGTAAGCACAACAGCTCACTCTTCTCAAATGCCCTTAAATCTCTATTCCATGTGGCAGGAAGTGGAAAAAGTCTTTCCATTCAGGGGCGATTCTGGGGAGAAGTGCCTGCACTACAAAAGTAACTGCTGTCCAGACCACACATTAATTAAGCTATTGCACAAATATTAGCTTACATGAGTGCATTTCAACTATATATGAAGCTATTCTAAAAACTGTCTAAAACAAAAACCAAAACCCATCCAGTCTTCATTTTATTTAAAAAAAATTTAAACGGAAAGAATCAGACAAATTTCTTATTTCAATTCAAAGTGTGCCTTAATAGGGACAATGTTATAGAAGGCTATCAACAAATATAAGGCAGATTCACCCCATACACACTCAAGCGGCACATCGAGAGAATAATGACAACAGCAGGCTGAGAGTGTTTTGGCTGCATAACTGAACTGCAGCTTTATACAGTACAGAAAATAAAATCTCCAGGTTGCTATATAAAATACATTCTTTTATAGTATCCATATAAATAATAGAAAGATTAGAGATGTATATAGCTAAAAAAGAGACATGGCTAATACAAATATTATGGCAATGAAGACTAATAGATCACAATTAACCCACCATTAAGGAAGAGCTCCTCTTGCTGAGCCTGTCTTGCCTCAGAGGAAAAACACCGTTTCTTCAGCCAGTCAGGATCAAACTCACTACTGTGCTGATCAGGCCAAGTAATGGACACCTACAATGAGTTTCAGAAAAACAGGTTTAAGGACTATTAGACAATGACTTGGTGTAAAAAGACCAGGGGTGCGTTTCCCAAACCATTGTTAGCTAACTTTGGTCATTAGTTCCATTGAACTCTTTTGGTAATGACGGAAATTGCGACCATAGTTGCTTTTGGGAAACGCAGCCCTGAATAGCTGCTCACTAGCATAGTACTGCGTGCTGGAGCCTCCAGCAGACTTCCTAACTGTCTTAACCAGAAATACTACAATAGTACAGCAGATATACAGTGTTTAGGTGCAGTCACATTATCCACTGTCCATTATCATTATTTTAGCAATGTGTGAAGCACAGCTCACACAGAAATCAGTTTCAAGCAGCTTTCTGTTGGTCAACGCAGTGAATTTGCGTGATGTGAAATCTGCATGGAGAAATCTTTCACCCTCACGAGAGAAATCTGTTCATATAGATTCCTATTTAAATGACTGAATTTTGCCTGGAAAATTTCGCCGAACAACTGTAAATGTGTTCAGCAGCTTTAGTTTCAGAATGTTTTAATACAGAGCCAGGTTTAAAGGAATAGTTCATCCAAAAATTTAAATTCCCATTTACTCTCACTCATTTAGTTTCTAAACTTCTATGACTAAAGGCCCATTCACATAAAAAACTATAACTATAATGCTAACTATACAGTATATTGGTTTAAAAATAGTTCTAAATTAAAAAAAAAAATAGCCCACACAGAATAGTCCACACAACAACTACAGTATAGCGATATAAGGGCACAGAGGAACAATATTGTTGGAATCAATTTCAAAACTACTTTTTTCCAGCTGATGAACGATAAAAACATTGACAGCCAATCTGAATCCACCCTGCATTTAAAGTGGCAGATGGCAAAACAGCAGCATGTTCTTACAATAAACAGAACGTTACTGTGTGTTGGTGTGTGGACGATTATAACATTATCAGTATAATTATCTTTATAGTTATCATTCTTGGTGTGAACAGGCCTGTTCTTTGCCATTCGATAAAAATGAATGGGGCCATCAAGCTTTAAAAATTACAAAAAAGCACCACAGTGGATGGGAATAAAGTGAATAAACCTGGAATACAGCACAATGTAGTATTTATGGAACGCAACAGCTCTATTCCCCTTCCACTTGTATTGAATCGAAAAGAGCAGCATGGACATTCTGCAAAACACCTTCTTTTGTGTTTCGCTAAAGAAAATCATATCCATTTGGAATGACATGATAATGGGTAAATGATGACAAATTTCTATTTAGCATGTACTATCCCTTTAAGCTTTGCTTACCAAGACCAACCTTATTGTCCATCAGCTGTACTTGGTCCATTCCAGTGTGCACGTCCAGATTTGTGAACAGCAGACAGCGTGCTTGTGCGGACTGCAGTGTGCAGTGAGGACACTGGCAGTTATCCCTTAACCAGGTGAATGGATACAAACTACAACTTCCATCATCCCAATCAATCTGCAGTAGTCTCTCCTGGTCCATTGCCCGGGCCTGCCTTACTCCTGGACTCCCCCCAGTGAAGGGCAGAGGAGCCACTGCCAGAGTCTGATTCCCAATATGAGGTGTCTTGACCAGTTGAGGCCGACTGCTTGCCCCCTTCAGTGCCTGGAAAGCACCTCTGGACATCCAGCGAGTAAGATAGGATAACATCCTGATTTGTGAGTGGCTGCTGCTAGTCTGAGGACACAGAAAGTAAGAGGTTATTGCGTTCATATAACAGCCACACCCTTTCACATCACCGTTTACCCAATAATTAGATGAGTCACTGCAGCGAAATGTGCTGCTGTAAAGGGTGAATATGACTGATGTGAGCAGCACACAGATGTGTCAAGTAAACATAGTACAGCAAACTGCACACAACATATCACACAACTCCAAATTAATTTTTCAGTCTTTAGTAATGTCACATTGTGTGATATTGTTTTTTTTTTAATAAATAAATATTGATTACCATAAAAATTAACTGTTATGAGTTATATTTTCAGTCAATTAGTCACTGAATACCTGTAAAAGTAACCTTTTGACATAATAAAGTGTTCCAAGAGTTTGGGGTTGGTCTGATTTTTTTATGTTTTTGAAAGACGTCTCTTTTGCTCACCATGGCTGCATCTATTTGATCAAAATATAGTAAAAACAGGAATATTGTGAAATACTATCACATTTTACATTTTTTTTACGTTTTGTATTTTAATATATTTAAAACTGTAATTTATTCCTGTGATGGCAAATCTGAATTTTCAGCAGCCATTACTCCAGTGTCACATGATCCTTCAGAAACCATTCTTTCTAATATGCTGATTTGGTGCTCAAGTTACTTCTTCTTTATATAAATGTTGTAATCATTTGTGCTACTTAATATTTTTGTGGAAATCATGATACATTTTTTAGAATTACATTTTAAAATTTGTTAGTGTGTGTTCTCTTCATATTAGGATTGTTCCCAACAAAATCATAAGCCAGTCTAGAGTTTTTTTTAATTATTATTATTATCATTATTGTTTAATTTATTTTGCTCTTCTACAGAAGGCAGGTCACTGATTTGTTGAATGTCACAGTTTGTCTGACAGCCCAGCAGATGAGATAGCTCTTGGTAAATGATTAATGCAATGACGTCATCCAGAACTGAATTATCTGAATGACTGTAAGGGTGCATAACTGACAACACTAATACAAACAGTATTACATCAAAGTAACCAAGATAAAAGCACGGCTAATCTGGGGCTAAGGTGAATTTATGACTTTAACACTGCCATACTAATCAAACCTATGCCTTACTGAACTCTGCACTTCAATTCTACTTTGCACTAGTAGGACGAATTTGGACTATTTCATGTGTACAGTTTTACAGAAACTCTTAAGGCAAACTTTTTGTTGCATCTCTTAACCTAAACAATAAAACATGAACAGTTTGTTCATTACAATTCCAAATAGGCTACACCGCAAAACTCAAATTGATATATTAATCGGTATCCACTGCTCAAAGTCTCATAATCATCATAACAATATTGATAATGTCATAAGTTGTTTTTAGTACATTTGGAATGTCAACTGTCAGTGTTATTGATCCATTAATCCCAGTTATTTTATTCTGTTGACAGTCATAGTTTCTTGTGAGATTTATACTATACTATATAACACTATTGTATTATTCTAATAATAATGTCTAGAATACACTGTCAGCTTCATACAAAGATAGACTTTTTGGCTTTACTAATACCAATTATTAATTTTACATTATAATATAACCTACTATTTGTCTCACACATTACAAATAGGGTTTAATACCTGAAAATAGCTCGTCTATCAGGCAGCAAAGCGACAATCACATTTGTGGGTCCATGATATAAAAGAAATATAATCACTGTACCCTAAACAGACCTTTGAGCATTGGTTATGTAATGTGCAAACATCTTAGCACATGTGTCTCAGGGAACACGGAAGTAGGTGAAAGGTCACCACTTCATTCCCTCTGCAAACAAACACATTACCGCCTCCAGCCTTACGACAGCACGCACACACACACACACACACACACACACATACAAACACTGCAGATGCCATGAAATAGTCAAGAATTCAACTTCAACATGTATTGTCTTTATTTAGACTTGATAGCTAAATATGCATCTGCCTTGTTGTTTCCGGGTATTTTTAGCATTTGCCCTCTTTGTAGCGCGCTTTAGTAAATGATCTATGGAGCAGCTGGCTGACTAAAGGAGGTCTACACTACAGCTTTCCATTCATAAAATATTACATGAGGAAATCACGAGTATGACGCTTACAACAAACACAACACCAAGCGATCTTTCATTCATCAGGCTGATACACGCGAACGTCCCGTTTACTAAATGGAGCCCAGCCACTGAATTTCATTTTCGATATTTACATGTGATGAGAAAAGAGGAAAACAGAAACTGCATGTGGCACTTACCGTGAAGCAGTGGGTAAGGTAGGCTCGGTTATTTCAGCCTTATATAGCGCTGAGAAGTGTGAGAACTCACAGTGCTGGAAGTGGGTGAAGGGTCAGATGCACTGTAGCGCTGATGCTGCACACACACACACACACACACACACACACACACACACACACTGTAATCATCGTGATGTGTGCTGTGTGTGCGCCACTGGATCTGACTGCCAAAATTACGTGCAGCTTTGCCCGACAACTGTTCCAGGCTTGTTTTTGTAACTGCATTTTATTGCAATTGTCATGTGAACATGCTACACGTTTCCAAAGCCTACTATACTGCATTCTATTTAAATATATATTATTTATTAATTATATATCAATTAAAATAATTATATATAGTACAGTATGAAATAGGCCTGTGTCCATGACAGATAGATAGATAGATAGATAGATAGATAGATAGATAGATAACATAATAATGGCAATATTTTGGTCACAGATAGACATGCCCCTTGTTTCCTTTTTGAAGATTATCAGGTTAGCACATCTTTAATGACCGATTGCCAAATAAGTACCAAATAAAACACAGCCTAGAGTGTATTTATAAATAACTCTAGTATTTTTTATGTTCAGAACTTAATGAAATAGTTAATAATAAATAATAGTAATTACATGGTAAATATAAATATGGTAACACTTTAGAATAGGGAACACATATTGACTATTAACTATGACTTGTCCCTCAATAAACTTCTAATTTGCTGCTTATTAATAGTTAGTAAGGTAGTTGTTAAGTTTAGGTATGGGTTAGGATTAAGGGATCTAAAATATGGTCATATAGAATAAGGCATTAATATGTGCGGTATAAGTACTAATAAATAGTCAGTATGCTAGTAATATGCATGCTAATAAGCAACTAGTTAATAGCTAGAATAGGTCCTTAAAATAAAGTGTTACCATGAATATATATAGTTTTGGGTTTCCCCTTATCAATTTAAAATTCTCTCTCTCTCTCTCTCTCTCTCTTACACACACACACTCAAACTGAGAGATCACCCACTACCGCAGCAGTTACTCTGGCTGTCTGGTAATGCATGTTTATGAGGAGGACTCCCACTATGTCGGGGAGTTTGGTGTCCTGCAACAGCTGTTTCAGTGTTCTAACATGAAACAATGTGACACCTGCATATGCTTAGAGCAACTATCATACTGCTCATACCTTAACAGTTCTGCATCAACCTGTGTGGCTTTAATTCATAATATGTTATCTCAGTATAATTTATTTAATAGACAAATGGCAAATTCAAAGTTTTGAGGCATCTGAATAGTTTTGACCTCAGTGTTGGAACTATTTGGAAAGCTTTAAAATAAAAAACACCATAAATGTATAATGTGATCCAAACAACATGTGCACTAATTTAAGATACATATTTGTGAAACAAACCAAAATACATAATTCACTGACAATCTTCCCTCTCCAGTGAGCTGTTATAATCAAGCTGATCTCAGCATCCAGATCAGTCCAGTTTGTGAATGAATCATTTAGTGAATCAGAGCAACCAACTTAAAGGAACGATTTGTTAATCATTTGTTCATATATTTTATGAGAGGTAATACAGCTTTTAGTCATACAGCTTTTTTGAACAACATAAGCCTGAATTAACTATTACTTTAAATCTTTTCTGGAATGTTTTAGAACAATGCAGTTCACACACTCACACAGATACTATCTTGAAGATTTTTATTACAAAAAGGAATATACACAACATATACTGTATCCCAAGAATGGAACTACACATGGTAGAATGCTTCAAGTCCAATAATCCTGCCCGCAGTCATCTTGGTTTGACTGGAATATGTCATCCCAGATGGTCCTTTTCCCGTTACTTCTCAGAGGATTACAAGAATACTTAATGCAACACGTACAGTTTCATAAAATTAATACAGTTACGCTTTTTCATAAATATAAACACTCACACTTTAATATTTTAAAAGCTCATTATAAAATATATAGATTTCTTAGGGCACACAAAATGTAATTACATGTACAAAGAAGAGCAAATGTCTTTTTATTCCTCCAAGTGTATCAGAAAATAATAATAATAAAAATGTATGTTTTTAATATGCCAGAATCTTTGGGAGGATTGTCAGACTGAATGCTTAAAAACTATTCCAAGTACATGCTCTTACATAAACTAAATATTAATATGACAGCTAACATTTGTACAATGAAAACTATATTCCTTCTGTTTAACCAACATGAATTTTCTCTGAAACATTCAAGTAATGTCAATGCAAATGAGCAAACGCAAATACACCCTATATCATTATCTGAGAAAATAGTGAGAAACTCAACGCTGACACTAACTCAGTGATTTGTATGTCTCCTCTGAGAGGTAAAGCCTCTATATTGGTTAGACTGAGGTTCCAGTCATATTATCATAAGCTGCAAATGTCGTTAATGACTAGAATTTAAGGGCAGTATTGCTAAGTTTAAAACATTTAATGGTTGTCCATCATGTATGATTGCCGCTATTAAGTGAATACTGGCTTTCATTTATTGCACAGAATAGCTGCATCACTTTTGCCAAGTAGTTACAGAGAAATAGCATTTATTCCTTCAAAATAAATAGTATATTGTTATGTTACTAGTTCTTATTTTAGTAAGCAATCCAATAGCGATTAATACATTTTACAACTATGGTGATAGTAACAAGAAACAATTCCAAATATTTTCCTAATTTTTCCAGTGAATTCTATAGGGATCCGTGGTTCAGACATTAACAATTCACTTAAGATTAGTATTCCAATTTTTGCTGGTATCTAGTCCAGTTTTCATAGTAACTATTAACTATTTACTCTAGTTCTTATAACTATTCAAATGTGACCCTGGAGCACAAAACCAAGTCATAACTAGCACGGGTATATTTGTAGCAATAGCTAACAATGCATTGTATGGGTCAAAATTATTGATTTTTTCTTTTATGTAAAAATTCATTAGGATATAAAGTAAAGATCATGTTCCATGAAGATATTACATACATTTCCTCCCGTATGTATATCAAAACTTAATTTTTGATTAGTAATATGTATTGCTAAGGACTTAATTTGGACAACTTTAAAGGCCATTTTCTCAATATTTAGATTTTTTTGCACCCTCAGATTCCAGATTTTCAAATAGATGTACCTCAGCCAAATATTGACCTATCCTAACAAACCATAGCCTACATCAATGGAAAGCTTATTTATTCAGCTTTCAGATTATGTATAAATATCAATTTCCAAAAATTGACCCTTATGACTGGTTTTGTGGTCCAGGGTCACAAATGTAGGCTATATTTCAGCTTCATAGTACTAATTGAATAGCCTACATACAAACTACCTATTTATTAGACCAGTGTGTGTTCTGTAACTAGTGAGATATATATATTACTAATAACAGCTAGGATCGACCCTAATGTCTCATAGAAAGGAATTTGAACCGAATAATTACGTGCAGTATATAGCTTCAGTACTATTACATAAAGACAATTGGGACAATTTTATTGGGAAAAATGGCTATTTACTAAAAACAAGTATAAGTACATTACTAGCCTACTTAATTTGAAGGAATTAATGTTAAAATGCCTTGCCATAGAGTCAGACTGAGATTTGCCTGGGTAGGCTCCTGAAGGCAGACAGACAGTCGGCTCTCTCTACACCTTCATGTACTCGTTCTTCAGACGGCTCAGCCGGGTCCCGTGACTCCGGATGATGAGCGACAGCAGCTCGTGCTTGTCCTTCAGTCCCAGCGAGATGTCCAGAGTCTGCTTCAAGACGTCGCGCGTGTGCACGATCATGTTGAGGAAGTCGTCGCTGATCTTGTGCTCCTCTTTCAGCTCGTTTTCCTGGCTCTGCTTGAATTTCACCTCCAGCTCCAGAAGAGACTTCTCGGAGTTAGAAAACGCCTCGCTGATCTGGGTCGTCTCCCGTCTCAGGTATTTCCCATAGCTGTTCTCTCCGTCCAGGTCGAAGGAGATGCTCTTGCCGATGCCCTCCAGCACCCTCGCCGCGTCCTCGATGTGCCGCTTGATGATGATAAAATCGTCCCGGATCACCGAGTCCTGGTCCTCGTCCAGGGTGCATTTGCGATTGTCGGTCATTTTGAACAGCATCTGACATTTCTCTGGATCGTCGTTTTCTTCGTAGTTGCCATCCGGCACGAAATAATGATGAAAGGTGCCGTTGGACATCTCTGGGTGCAGGGGCCCCGAAAAGAAAGCCCCTTCGATACGCAACGAGAGCAGACAGGCTATCAGTAGGAACAGAGGGGAAGCCATCATAGCCACCTCTGTTTTATCACAGTCAACAGTAGGCTACCTTCGGCTCTGCTGTTTAAACTTTAGACAAGCCCTCCTGCTCCAGCCCCACGCATGTCCAGATCGTCAAATGCCGAGCAATCCCGACACAGAAACAGCTAAATCACACAGAATCGTCCTCGGTTTGATATCGCAACTTTCCTGTCCGTTTTCCTGCCTGTGTTTTTGGCTAAATCAACAGGCGTGAGCCACACAGACCCTCGCCGTGTCCTTCCTTGTGGCTGTTTGAACATTTGGACCGTTCAGACTCTGTGCTAGGTTTAGATAATAATACCCCCGGTCAGACTCTCAAATTACAAGCCCGTCACTCCTTCACTTAAAAGGCAGCACACATTACAGGGCTTGTCATTAAAAGACCTGGGCTCCTGAAAGCTACAAAACACACGTTAGAATTTGGCTGGACGTTAGACTAAACTAAATCAAAATCAAAGAGGTGCCAAAATTACTGTGATGAGATCATTGCACTTATTTAGAACACGTTAAATTTAATTATAAACTTAATTCATAATTAAATTGATCTAACCCTAACTCGTGAAAATCTTAAAAATGACAGTAGATGATTGTGGGGTGGGCTAAAGTTATACAATATTAAATAAAGACAAATACTTTTTATTAAAACAATGAGGAAATATTTTATATATTGTGGAGAATTTACATTTTGTATGTAGGGTGCTTTATTTTTATTAAAAACAACTGCTCTGGCAATACTATTCATTGCAGGGTAAAGGCAGAACACTGTCCAGTTTTGTGTGTTCGAAACGGGAGATAA